TTAGTATAGTCTTATAAAAAATAAACTTTGATTCTAAGTTAATCAACTTAGTTACTAATCTATTTTCTAATCAAATAATATATATTATCAAAAAAAAAAAAAATACTATCTAAATAATTTAAAGAAAAATATATATCAAGAAAACTCTCTCTCTATTACTCTATATCATTGTATTTGAATCTCTTTTAAGAAAAAATCCTAGCTTATGCTAATATAAAATTGGCTCTCTGTTAAATTAGATTACTATAAAAAACCTACCTAGCACCATGATGCTATTGCACTATAAATTAATTCTCTTATAAAATAACGTCCATATAAATAAATAAAATTTAATCTCAATAATTTATTTTTTTTTTTTTATTTAATATTAAATCATAGAACAGTATTTTATTATTATTAGTTTTTTCAGTATAGAAGTTTTCGGAAGCTCTGAAATTTATGATAAAACCAATAGTTTTATCTACTCGCATCGAAATACAACGCATTATTTTACAAAATCAATTTCATTGTTGTTATGTAGCTTGTTGCGATGGTTGCGTAACCTGCGATTGCGGAACCGGCTGTTGCGGAGGTTGAGATGGTGATTGCTGCGCAAGCTGTTGTGATGGAAGAGACTGGCTTGGGAGACCTGTTGTGTGATTATTTTGCTGCAACATAGCTTGCGCAACACGGGCTTGTTGAACCCGAAGCTGCTGATTATAAAAGTGCTGTACGTGGATCGATTGCGCTTGCGCTTGAGCCATAACAGCAGCCTGTGTTATCGGTTGAGTAGGTATACGTTGTTGCGCAATAGCAGCGCGTTGTTGATGCATAACGAGAGCTTGAATTTGATTTGCGGTAGCAACGTGTGGTCTGTAAGACATTCCTGTGGGAGCCTGTGGTCGCATTATCATAGGCTACTAGATTAAATAGGAAATGTAAAATAAAACATATAAAAAGCACAAGACGCCATATAAAATTTATAAATATCATACCCGTACATGTGCTTGATATGCAAGCGCTGCAGCTTGACGTTGTTCTAATAAAGCTGCTTGTACTTGCCGTTCTTGCTCTGATTTTATTCTACTCAATTCAATCGGAGACAGAACTTTATTTACGAATGGAATAGATTGGTCTATTGTCTTTTTAACTTGCCCTGAATATAAAATTAAATACGTAAATTTAATGATTATGAATAAAAAGAAAATTGCATATATAGTTTGGTTTATTACCTTGTTTCATAGCTGCATCCTGTCGTTTCTTCGCTGATCTCCTCATCGCTTCCATTAAATTAGAATTTCGACGTTGCTTAATAATTTCTGGCCTTGGTATTTTTTTTGGCACATCTCTTTTTGGTCTGTTAGATATTGTAGAAGAACCAGCTATAGATAAAGTGGGATCTTCATTGACATCAGGGGTTAATATACTATTCGAGTCCTCTGTCCATTCTTGATAATCAAATTGAGACATATCATCTTTTTGTGTCCAACGATTAAAACAAGCCCATGGGGTCCTTGGATAACCAGTAAGAATACCGCGAAGAGAATTCCACGCGTCAGCAATCAAGTCCCAGTTGTATTGGTACTGTTTCGTTAAAGACATCAGCAATTCATCATCCTCTGGATACCATGCATAAGATGGTTCTTGATCTGGCCGTGGAGCTTTGACTTGAATCTTAGACTGTTGCTCATAAGGTTGTTGTGGCGCAAACACTATCCGAGTAATGATTAAATTAGACAACTTGAAGGTGACACTTGAAATAAAAATCCGAAACTTACGCTGCATCGAACTAGCTGGTTTATCAACTGCTTCTATACAATCATTTTCTGTTCTCATTTTTTTAATAGCTCTTCTCCTTGCAGCTTTCTCTTCATAATTCGTTTATTTTTTAAAAACAAAAAATAAAATAAAAGCAAATAAAATATTTAGCTTAATAAATATCTTTAATTATTGAACCGTAGAATTCTTACCACTCTTCGGCCGACGCGACATGTGCTTTGAAATTGGTATTACACGATTACAATGAATATTATCATAGTAAACATCTTTGTCAGAAGGCCGTTGTGGTGGTTCATATGTAGGTAAATCTGGAAATATTGAATCGACATCATAAACTTGACCATCTGGTCCATCTAAGCAACATAAAAATGCATCCGCTGGTAAATTGATAACTTTTTGCCGTAAAGTCAGTAAAACAGTAGGTGCTATAGGAGGTGGCATTATTATAGAATCATTGCTCTTTAAATTTGCTTGGCTAACGTCAGGCTTTGTTGACGTATCATCATCAACTGACTCAACATCAATCATTACTTCGTCAGAAAGCATTGATTGATTTACTGGAAGATCATTCAGATCTTGTATTCCATCATCCGGTTCTGACTTTATATGAATTACTTCACCATCAGGCGTAGCTACGAAAAGTTTGAATTTGTATAAGAATAAAAAAGAAACAAACATGAATTTTAATAAAAGTTAACTACCACTCGAAGACACTTCCTCGTGGCTTTCGAGTATATTAGCGTGATGGATAGGAGTACTTCTACCAGGAATTCGGCTCTAATAAAGAGAATGATCAATGTGAACAATAAATTCAAACGAAGCCGACAGATTATATATTAATTATAATCATAAATTCCATACATTAACGCATACATCCGCCTTATTTTCAGCTTGAAACCACGCTTTCACCCAACGACTCATATGGAATGCTGCAGCAATTTTCCACTTTCGTTCTTTTTTAAAGTCCTTTTGCATCCATGACTGATAACAATTTCATT